TCCCGTTTCTCAGAGCCTGCCATTCCTGAGACGTTCCGTGCCCTGTGGTCACCGCTCCGGAGCCGGCGAAAGGACCGCCCGCCGGGCCGACCCCCAGAGGCTCCCCGCTCGTCTGGCCGCCCGCCGGGCCGACCCCCAGAGGCTCCCGGGTGGTCCGACCAACGTCTCGGGTTTCCCTCCCCCCCTCCCCTTGTTTCGCTCTAGTGTGAGCCGCCTGGAAGTCGGCCCTTGAGGGGGGGGTACTGTCACGGTGTGGTTCACTTCCTGTCTTATTTTGTAGTTTTCTGCCACTCGTGTCCCCGGGTAACTTCACTTCCTGCCTTGTCTCGTCATCCCCTGTGTTCGTCTAATAGTTTCCACCTGTGTCCAATCACCTGCACCTCCCTTGTGTATTTAAGCAGTGTGTCTCCTGTGTCACTTGTCGCGTCATTGTCTTTCGTCTTGGATCGTCGTAGTCTCTTGCCTGTGTGCGTTTGCCCCCAGTTCCGGTGTTTTTTGATCCTTGTGACTATTAAAGTCTTTTGTTTGCCGCAAGTCTGCGTTTGAGTCCTGCCTTCCAACCTCACACCCTGACACTCTGAAGACATCCCAGGTCTCTCATTCATTCACATCGCTCATGATGTCCACCTGAATGGTCCTCTTTAGCTAAAAGGTGTTCTAGGGTCTTTTTCCAGTGATCAACACCGAGCTAAAAGCTGAAATGACACCAGTCGCTCTGCTGCAGGTCCTTCTGCTTTGGGAGGCTCTCTTTTCTTGGCATTATGCTGCACATTTTAAATCAATGTTGTGCATAAAAAAAAGAGTAATATCTATAAAGTTGACGACACACACACATGCTTTTTCACTGTTGTCCAACGGAGTTAAAGCATAAGGGGAGGGGGGCGGGTTGCAGGGCAAAGGGGCAGGTGCTTGAGCACTACTAGGGGTCTGTCTGTGCACGAGCCTGGTTACCAATGCACCGGCGTGTGCACATTTCTGGACTCAATTGCATATCATATTTTATTACTTGTTGGAGTAACGGACTGGTGCATATTGTAGCCAAGACTCATCCGTGGAACGGTGTGGAGCATTCATATGTTTGTTTGTGATGAGCACACGATATTCCTGTTGGAAGTTACTGATACACACTTCCAGTTACAGCCTTGCAAAAATATATTGTTCTCCGTTTGGTCAAAATGATTTAAATACCCCATCATGCTCATCATGGCTGATGGTCTTGTTCAACTCTACAAAGGCAGGAAATATTAAGGGTGCAAATTCAAAGTAAGAGAGAAGGGAAGTGAAAGCAGCGGTGCTCTTTGAGGATAATGGCCGTGCTTCGACGGGACAGCAGGTAATAATGAGTCCCGCTCATGAGTTGGTTTCTTCTTTGCAGCCTTTAACAAATGAAACCAACCTGCTACCAGAAGAGATGATGAACTCCTCTCTGTATGAGGAGCCAGTGGACCCAGCCAAATGGTTTGGCATCAGGAAAGATGCCACGGCACTGGGATACAGCAAGGTATGTGCATGCGTGTATGTGTCCTTAGCGGCTGGTATGGCTCCAGTTTAAATACTACTCTGTCAGACTGGCTCAAAATAATTCACCTCCTGAATGTTCATTCATATCGTATCTTGTTGGGTCTACTTTTCCATGAAAGGACTTATAAAACTAGTGTTTTTTTCTTCCAGAATCATTTAATAGTGCTGATGTTGTTGGTGTTTGAGGCGACAGTGTACCGCCACCAGTCTCACCACTACCGGCAGCTCCAACGGTCCCCCCCCACCATCCCTGCTCTGTTCCCTGCTGCCACCAGGGACACTCTGGACCAGGGTCTCATATCCTGCTTCAAGTACCTACTCAACTACACCTTCTACAAGTTTGGATTGGAGGTACCAGGGACAGAGCACTTCATCACTTCAATAACCACATTCATTGAAGGGAAAAGGATTTAAACCGCAGCAGGAACAAGGACGTGTGCCAGTAAATCGGGCTGATCTGACCCCTGGTCTGGACAGAAACTTTGTTCTGACTGCAAGCTGCATGCTTAGTGACACATTACATTCACAAAAGTATTTCTCGCTATATAAAAGTAAATAATAATATTTATTATTTTAACATTGCAGGTCACTGATACAACTTGCATGTACAACAATTAAATATGCAAAGGAAAATAACCAACATGTTCTCCATTCACAGCCACATTACAGAAGACTTGCCATGTGTTCCAACAAAGGAAACAATCACAGAGAGACTCACTGTGTTGTGTGAAAGATACATAATGAAGTTGTAAAATTAGTTTAAACTTTATTTAAAGCTGCAAAAACATGTTCTCTTTTAAAACAGATTTGCTTCCTGATGACGGTGAATGTGATTGGCCAGCGGATGAACTTCCTGGTTATAATCCATGGCTGTTGGTTGGTAGCCATCTTGGTGAGGCGGCGGCGGGCAGCCATTGCCAGGATCTGGCCCAGATATTGTCTCTTTCTGTCCATCTTCATGATGTACCAGTATCTTCTATGTGTGGGCATACCGCCAGCTCTCTGCATAGGTGAGTCCTTGTGCAGATGACTTCACTGTGTACGGATAGAGAACGGGACTCTCTGTAAGTCAATGCAGTCCAGTCTCTTGTCTTTGTAGGTACAATATTTACAATACTACAATAAATTATATATTATTTATGAATTATTGCACAGTGTTGCCATTATTTTAACCATTAAATTCAGTAGGTAATGTGTTTTTTTGTAATATCTCTGAATACACATACAAACAAACTATGGGTCACAGGAGGGGGGATGTTGATCACTGTTGGCTTGGGAGGGGCGTCATCACACGTCTTAACCAATGAGAGCATTTGGAGGCGGGCCTAAGCATGCTCTTCAAGCTCAGGGTTTTATTTTTTATTATATTACATTTATGTTTAAGATGTGATTTACAATAAATATTTTAACTGCTACTTTGAAAAGTGAACATTGCTGTTAAAAGCACCTTATTTGTTTAAAGTGTTGTTCATATATTAGTACTTGTAAAATAGAAGTGCACAATACAGTCCTTTTGTAATTCATTATTGTAATTGTTCCACACACCAATGCGATTCATTGTGATTAATTGCAGAAAATCATGCAATAAATCACAAGTACGTTTTTTGTCATTCCCCATCATTAATGCTGAAGAAATAAATCCTTGCCTCTTGGTACCGTCTTCCTGTTGTTGTCCTGTAGACTACCCGTGGCGTTGGAACACTCCAGTGTTGATTAACTCAGCTCTCGTTAAATGGATCTTCCTGCCTGACTTCTACACTGTGCCCAACTCCAAAAACCTCATAGGTCAGTTTGTGTGCATATTGTGTCAGTGTGTGTTCGTGCTCATCTGCTTTACTTTGTCAGTGAGAATTAGAGACCATATCTAGAATACTGCATATTCTCAAAGTGTGGATTCATTCATTTGTAGTTTGATCAGACCAGTAAGAACCCTGCTTGTTTTCTCACCTGTGGGTGTGTTCATTGTGCTGCAGGGTGTGCGTGTTGTCGGGAGGAACTGGCGTGAGCCTCTTAGTGATCGTGACGATGTTGATGATTTATTGTGTTGTTGTGTTTCCGAAGCGGACTTTGTGCTGCTGATGTGTGCGTCCCAGCAGTGGAAGGTGTTTGAGTGTGAGCAGACTGAGGACTGGATGGTTCTCGCAGGAGAGAACACAGATGACCCTGAACCAATGAAAGGTCAACCATTTAACCCCGCCCCCAACTTCATCAACTGCAGGTAAATCCAGCACAGTGAACCTGCTGTCTGTGTGGAATACAATGATGACTAAAGTATGATAAACGTTATTACCAGATATGATCTTCGCTTTCTGGTGAGTATGTATGTGACGGAGATGAAATAAAACATGAATGTCTGTTTCTGTCTGCCTCCAGGAGTTACCTGGATATGGCCAAAGTTTTGGTGTTTCGTCACCTCTTCTGGTTCGTCCTGTCGGTGGTCTTCATCACTGGCGCCACGAGGATCTCTGTGTTTGGATTGGGCTACCTGCTCGCTTGCTTCTTTTTTCTGCTGTTTGGGACCCGGCTTTTGGTGAAATCATCCAGAACCCGCCTCGCCTTGTGGGACTGTCTGATCATGTACAACGTGGCAGTCATTGTATCTAAAAATATGTTATCCGTAAGTACTGAGCTCAGTATTTAGTGCTGTTTTCCTTGGAGCGTTTATCTTGGTAATTGGCAAAGAGAATGTTGAGTGTGGTCCTGAAGGATGCTCTCGCGGTTTAAATGTAATCTTAGCTGTGCGACTGGATTGAAGGTTACATGTTGTGGCAAAACCCGCTTTGCAGAGATAAAGAATCTGACAACAGGCCAACGCTAATATCAACCCGCCATCCTATTGTGTTTTTCACCAGGTGATATCTTTTCCCTTCATGCGATGGTGCTGCTGCACTCGACTCTGAGCGTGTGAGCTCTAGTTATTCATCTTATTCCAAAGAAGAATAGAACGAAATAAAATAAGAAGTAGATGAAACCCTCACCAGCTTTGAGCTTCTCTCGCTGTACTCTCCTGAACTCCTTGATATTCTCCCCATGTAGGGAGGGAGATAACATGCTACAAAGTTGGCAGTGCCTTGCCAAGTGTGGTGTGGTTAAAGTCTCCAGTAGGTGAGGCTGACATGCACCGGGGTGTTGGGTCTGCAGGTTAGATACAGCGGAGTAGATGGAGGAGCAGCCGCACGCGGCCGGGGTCGCACCGCCTCTCGTTCACAGACATTGCAACCCCCGCCACCTTTCGTCTTATCGCTCTGCACATCGTCCATATCCGCCCAAACGATCTTGCAGGCGGGTACGGCCGCACTGAGGACCAGGGCAGGGGAGTGCAGCCATGTCTCAGTGGTCCTCCCTACGTGTCCTCACCAGTGCACCGAGCCTGTCCGCCTTGCTTGCAGAGGACCTCACATTGCCCATTAAACCTCCTGGCACAGCAGTTTATATTTCCTCCCCTTCGCCTTCAGCGTAGCGCCAGCTCTGCAACGCAGACGAAAGGGTTCAGGATGAGGCTCCGGATGCCATAACAGCGGTTCGAGGTCTAAGATCACGAGGACAAACTGAAATTTGCTTCATTTGACCCATTGTGACCAGGTCTTACAGTCTGAGGTGTTCTAAGGAATGCCACACACCTTATTCTCTCCCTCTCTGCGTGTTTCAGATCCTGGCATGTGTGTTTGTGTTTGAGATGCAAAAGGGCTTCTGTTGGGTAATTCAACTCTTCAGCCTGGTCTGCACGGTCAAAGGATACTATGACCGTAAGTGCTTTCCATACGCCACCATAGCTATTAGCATTAATATCCATGTAATCAAGAAAAGGTGATGTATTATTGCATTGGTTCATGCTGTATTGGGACATTTGATTTGCTGTTTAATAATAGAAGAAATTCCAACAATTTTGTAACTAAAGCTTTCTATACTTGATTGCTTTTCTTTTATTGAGAAAATGTACTTTTTTGTCAGCAGAATGCTCTTCCATCTTGGTGTGTGTCATAAAGTTGGTTTGTTTGTTCCTTTCAGCGAAAGCAGTGAGTGACAACACCTGCAGCCTCCCGGTAGAAGAGGCTGGGATCATCTGGGACAGTATCTGTTTTCTCTGCTTGTTGCTGCAGAGGAGGGTCTTCCTCAGTTTCTACTTCCTGCATGTGATAGCAGAGATGCAAGCTTCTGCCCAACAGGCCTCCAGGTAAGACAAAATGTGCATGCATATATATATATATATATATATATATATATCCCTCGTGAATATTGGATATTGGCTCCTCAGTTACCTCCTAATTCCTGCATTGACAGCTGTTTCTTCTTCCCAGGGGCTTTGAGCTCTTCAGAGCCAGCATTGTGAAGAACATTAAATTCCACCAACAAGCTGAGAGGAAATCTCTGTCACAGCTCAAGAGATCGTAAGTGTTCACAGTGACATTTTTACATTTTGGGAGTAGCATTGTATGGGGGAATCCAGAAAAGGGTAAAAAGGGAACGTTGGATGAGGAAATTCTTGAAGGTAGTGTGATATCAATGGTAATCCCACCACAAACAACAAGAAAGTGCAATTTCCTCAAATAAGCCAATTTACAATTTGCTATAGATGAGTGGCGTTATAAGTACAATGTAAGTGCTACAATTTGTAGCAAGTCTTTTAGTGGAGGTAAATAGACAATAGCCGGCCTCTTGTAGTAAGCCATGATTGTCACAGCCTCTAATGCTCCCACCTCTCATAACGCTTTCTTTTGGACTCACTTTGTGCCCAATTGCCAGCCTGGCCACCAAGCGGATGGTAAACGGTCAACGGACTGTTCTCTTTTCTAGTCTTCCGTCCACTTAAAGTTATTTTACGCGACATGTTATTATTCGCCCATTCACAAAACCACTGCAAATTAGTGAGAGAACACAACAAACCAAAATACTCTAATTTAAGCCAGAGTTTTAGTTAGACCATGACTTGGTATTTACAAACAGCACGTTGCTGAAGCCTACAGTGGGTTTGACATCCAGTGTGGGCTTTCTTTCTCTGACCATTACTTCTCTATTTATTTTTATGCGTTTCTCTTAGTTATACTTCGAGGATGCTTCCCACTGAAAAGCACAATTTATATTTGTGTAGACACAAGGCCACACAATGTGGAGATTTGTGCCTGATCAGAAGTGTTTTCGGTTGGTTTTGTTTTCCACCTCTAACACAAGTCTGTGACTTGTTTAGTTGATCACAGAAAAGGTCACGTTTCTTTTTATTAGGCGTGTGGGAGGAGGCGACTTCGGTAATGTGCGTCCTCATCGTGCTCATGTTTGTCTCGTCCCTGTCTGAGGAGTCCCGTGTGAGTCACAGCGCGTGCATCGGTCTCCCAAAGTGCTCCTGATGTGTTTGCTCTTACAATCAAGACTTTCTGAGTCAACCTACATATATGTACTCCTGTATCTAATGCTAAAATGAAGTAAAACAGTTATTATATCAGCACAAACAGGATGTAATGAACATGAAACATTCACAGTTACAAATGGAGGGAGCAAGATATTAGGGCTATAAGTTATATGAAAAGATATACACCTCGTCACATTACCCCGTCTGTATCCCTGGTGAAACTGAATGAGGCAGATAGGAATAGTTCTGAGTCTGTGCAGGTCATGTGAGTGATTGTGTGTGTGTTATCAGTGTTTATGCGTGCGCACCCCCCCACATCCAACAAGCTCAACTATTCCTTCTTTTTGTGTCATCTCTTTCTCAGGATGCAACGAATTCGCGCCAAGCAGCAGAAGTACAGGGATGGACACAAAACCAGTGAGGATTCTAATGAGAGTCACAATGCAGGTAGGACAGCATGACTAAAGATCTTCTTCAAACTGCTAGAAAACTCCACACGCATAGTAACCATGGTTCACACCGCTGCTTCTTTATGACTGAAGATAAAGCCCCCTTCAGGTCTCAATCAGTTTAATTATGAACAACCAGTGCATCACTTATCAAGTTCATTTATATTTTACACTCAATACGCTTGTAAAACAATATTTATATAAAGTCTTTTTGACTTTTCTTCATCCGTCATATTTTCTCGTTAATTATTTCCTCAACTGATCAGACAGTTTAACCCTACTTTTATATGCACAGACCCTTCTACTGGACTATTACTGGGTAATACTCTCCTACAAGCACTTTGTATAAGTGAAGCCAGCCAATTAGGACTTGTCTCGCCAAATACATATGTATCCCAGAGTTTATCTATCGTGCACAAGCTCTGGCCTTTAACCTTTAGGGGTGTACCGTGGTGATTCTTGGGGGGTCCCGGAATGAGGATTATACAACAGATCCTTTCGGAACAAACTTTATTTCGCACTTTTCAACACAGAGTGAGCTCCCAGCCTCCGGCCTCCAGCCTGCTCATCTGGCTGAGTTTCTCACTCCCTCTCGCTGGATCGCCGCTACTGAAATACAGGGAGACAAACACAATTGTTGATTCCCTGCACCTGAGGCCAATTACGCCTCCACCTGGTACCGCTCCCTGAGCCACTCCCCTCCCTGTCCCCTCTGCAGCTGAGCCAAACCACGTCCGCCACCACAAAGGGGTAAAGTGTGTGGTATTTGATAGCTGCACGTCAGACAGCAACATAACATTAACCCAAGTACACTGTGTCTATTAGACAACAATCATAAGAAAGGGAAAGAGGGTGGGGGGGGGAGTGCTGTAGGTTGGTACACAACCAACACCTTGCAGGCTTGTGCCAGGGTCCTGAATTCGTGGAGCACCAGGGACACTGCGTGTAGCTCAAAGACGTTGATTCGTGTTCGTTCTCCATCGGGGTCGTATATCATTCACTCGGGCAAAGGCTTGTATGGAACCTAGGATGGAACTAGGATATTCTCTGGACTTACCCATGATGACAAGGTCCTCAACATAAAAAAAGACATTCATGCGTTTAATTGTGCAGCATCTAAAAGGCTGTGTCCACCCTTTTGCTAAGGGTTTGGAGGCCGATACAAAGCCTAAGAACAGTCAGCGAGGACTAGACAGAATGTCACGGCCTGAGATGACAGGACTGGAATGACTTGCCAACTAAACACCAACACAACCCATTTGTTAGCTCTCACTATTTGGGCTCCCAGTTAAAACATTACATTAATGTAATACACTGTTCCAGACAAAAGCTTGGACACATTTTCTCATTCAATTCAATGAGAAAGTGTGTCGAAACTTTTATTTGGACTTTTATAGCGCATCTATTGGTCCAAGTCTACTTAAAGCACTTATACAAAAAATGTATTCACACACCTTAGTGTCTTACCCAAGGACACGTTGACATGGACAAGCGGAGACAGGGGGTTGGACCGATCCTCTGATTAAAGGATGAAGCTGCTCTCCACTAAGTCACAAGATGTCTCCCACGACCCTGCACCCTGAGAAAGTCTGCTGGACTTGCTGGGCTCTTGACGGCTGCCTGGAAGAGTGGGGCAGACAAAATCAAGCCCCTGACTAGGCGCGTCCGTAGGAACATGTTCGTCAGAAGAAGGAGGATATGGCGGCATTGTCATTTTCATTCCCCGCAAGTGAGAGCAGGGGTCTCCTAAGGGACTTTGACGGTGTCAATTTCGAGCTCCTGCTTAGTCTCATTGCAAGGAGGAAAGTATTACCCATTGAGTCCAGTGAATGATGGAGTCTGTGTGTGTCAGGATACCCCAAACTTGCGAAATAAGGATTTTATGTAACAGTGACCTAAACTGTACTATCCAGTTTCACTATCACTATTCATAAAAGAGGGACACTAGATGAAGATGAATCATTTATTTGAATGACCTTATGGCCTTTCCTCGAGTACCTCAATCGGGTTATGTTCCTGTTTTTTTAAATGAAAGATAAGCAAAACTGTCATTAACTTTGTGCTGTGCAGTGCTTCCACCAATCTAAATCTTCTCATGGTTTGTTTCAGATACCCAGAGACACCAGAAGAGTTCCAGGAAGGAAAATTGGTCCCGGCCTTGGTTGGACCATGCTACGGGTATGGCAGCACTCAAGTTGCTTAAGAAGAAAAAACACACTGAGAGACTAAAGTAGTCTTTCTTTCTACATAAACGGAGTTAGAGGACATTATAATATGTTTCTTCTATTCACAGTGCTGCACTCCGGAGAGTACTACCTGTTTGAGTCAGACAGTGAAGACGAAGAGGACACTGATGAACAGAAGCCTCAAAAACAGACTGCCTGTGAGGTCAGATGCTTGTCCATAATTACATCGGTACCCTTTCTTTCAGAGCTACAGTGTTACATTAATAAGTCTGTCACCACGCATGACAGGTTGTTACACTCACAGGCTCCGGTGTCCACTGGACTATGTTGTCTTACCATAATATGTCAAACATACAAGGAATTTGTCTTGGCGGTTGGTGCGTGACAGTAGACAATGTGACAATAGACAAGACAGCAGTGCACAAGTAATAAAATAAAGTAAAATGAAATGCTAATGCAATGGGTTAGTAAATAAGGCTATGGGTTAGAATAAAACAAGGGAATAAAGTTAAAAATTTTAAATATTAAAAAAGTTAAAAAGAAATATTAAGCATAAAGTGCACTAAAGAACAAGTAACAAAGTGACGAGTGACGACAAAGTGATGAATTACAGTTAAAGTGACGTGTGCAGTATGAGGGGGAGTGACCGGTGGGATGTTATGGTCAGGCAGTGGGGGACCGTCTCTGTTGATGAGCCCGACTGCTGACGGGAAGAAACTGTTGGTGTGGCGGGAGGTCTTAGTCCTGATGGACCTCAGCCTCCTGCCAGATGGAAGGGGCACAAACAGGTTTTGTCCGGGGTGGGAGGGGTCGGCTACCATCTTTTTAGCTGCTTCAGAGACCTGGAAGCGAACAAGTCCTGCAGGGATGGCAGATTGCTGCAGCGTACCAGACGGTGATGGAGGAGCAGAGGATGGACTCCATGATGGCCGTGTAGAAGTGCACCATCATCGTCTTTGGCAGGTTGAATTTCTTCAGCTGCCTCAGGAAGAACAACCTGTCCTGAGCCTTCTTTGTGATGGAGCTGATGTTCAGCTCCCACTTGAGGTCCTGGGATATGAGAGCCCAGGAAACGGAAGGACTCCACATCAGGAATCAGGAAACATTTATTTGCCAAAATATGCCAAACATACAAGGAATTTGTCTTGGCGGTTAGTGCGCGACAGTAGACAGACAAGACAACAGTGCACAAGTAATAAAATAAAGTAGAATGAAATGCTAATGCAATGGGTTAGTAGAATAAGGCTATGGGTTAGTATAAAACAAGGGAATAAAGTTAAACATTTTAAATATTAAAAAGTTAAAAAGAAAAATATTAAGCATAAAGTGCACTAACGAACAAGTAACAGACAAGTGACAAAGTGACGAGTGACGACAAAGTGATGAATTGCAGTTAAAGTGGCATGTGCAGTGTGAGGGGGAGTGACCGGTGGAGTGTTATAGTCAGTCAGTGGGGGACCGGCTCTGTTGATGAGCCCGACTGCCTACAGGAAAAAACTGTTCATGTGGCAGGAGGTCTTAGTCCTGATGGACCTCAGCCTCCTGCCAGATGGAAGGGGCACAAACAGGTTTTGTCGGGGTGAGAGGGGTCGGCTACCATCTTTTTAGCTGCTTCAGAGACCTGGAAGCGAACAAGTCCTGCAGGGACGGCAGATTGCAGCCGATCACCCTCTCTGCAGAGCGGAGGACACGCTGCAGCCTGCCCTTGTCCTTGGCTGTGGCTGCAGCGTACCAGACGGTGATGGAGGAGCAGAGGATGGACTCCATGGTGATGGAGCTGACGTTCAGCTCCCACTTGATGTCCTGGGTGATGATGGAGCCCAGGAAACGGAAGGAATCCACAGTGGTGACGGGGGAGTCACACAGGGTGATGGGGAAGGGTGGGGCTCTGTTCCGCCGGAAATCGACAACCATCTCCATCAAGTGTTTCCACAAAGTCTAGTTGATGTTACAACTAACTGAGCTGGGGATCACTGTCTACTGCAAGGGGAGCAGCCCCCTACATCGACATGTGGAATATCTGGGTGTTTTGCTCCAGGTGTGTTGGTTGCAAGCCACCGTAGACGGTCTGCAATTGCGGTGGTTGCAATGGTGACGGCATTGGCAGTGATGCAGGTCATGCAGTTTGTGGCAGCTGTCCATCCGGTGCTACCACTGGACTACCACTGGACACTTTCGGGAGCACTTGGTTCTGAAAGCTGTCCCCATTCGCAGGTTGGGAAAGCGTAGGTCCACCTTTTTGCTGACGTTACGCTCACCGCCAGCTGTGCTGCTCCCTGGAACAGAAGGGCGATCCAACCTTGGGGGTGGCAATGGAAGTTATTTTAGGTTGAAGGTTGCACAGCTGGATGTTTTTTGTCTTTCACCTTTTACCCCCATAAGTTGCACCATGAGATGTCAATGCACCTCCCATGCCTACTGCCAGGAGGGACCTTTTCACTGTGGATCTGTGCATACTCTACTATTTCAGTGCAGGTTCCTTGTTTTGTGGGGGGAGTGTCAACGACAAACGTAAAGCAGCATCTTTTGAACACGTTGTGCTCCTTTTTTGGTCTATGTTCCCTGGAAGGTCACAGGACACATACCGGAATACACACATTCCAGTGGAGGCACATGTCCACACAATCTGACTTTGAATAATATTATATTAAAACCATATTTTCATGTTTGTTCTTTTTGTTTTTCTCCTCAGTTGGCGTACCTAGCGTGGGTTACCAGTGTGAAAACAGCTTTAAAGGAACGTCAGAGACACCAACGACACTTGAAGAGTATTGAGAGAAAAGAGAAAGAGAAAGAGAAACAAGGAAGAGTGGATTTACAACAGGAGGTCTTTTCTGCAGCAGGTTAGATGTTCTTACATCAGTTTTTTCATTACCATGGTTACATATTCATTTATGTTTTCATCATGGAAAATGCACTATTCTTATATAGCACTTTTCTAATCTTCCAACCACTCAAAGCGCTCTATCACTATATTTCATCATTCACCCATTACTGCACTGACAGGAGCTGCCATACAATAACCCTACAATACAATAACTAGCATTATCCTGGCATTCACACACTGACAGACAGATGGGCAGTCAGGGCTTAAACCACCACCATCTTCTGGTTCCAACCCTATTCTCCACTGACACACAGTTACCAATGATCATTACTGATGCATGTGTTGCCCGTGCCATGAACACTCCTGTTGACACCGAGAAAAGAAAGCGTAGGGATTGCATTAAGTGTCCCTGAGATGGACACACCATCCGCCCAGCCAACCCAACTGGACCAAACTTCAATGAAGGCAGTGGGAGAGCCAGAGCAATAGAGAAGAGATTTCTGATGAGGATCTAAAGGTATTCCACTACCGAGCCTACTCCTGGTTAGTGTCTGGAGGCCGCCTTTATTGTTATTGCTAGTGATTTCAACTAATTGAACCCAAAGACTATACATGCAAAATTCCACCCTCATGTCTCCTGACACACTGGAGAGGAGAAGACCTTGGAACGTGGGTAGTGGTCCCTGTGTGTACAATCCAGGATTAGAGAGCGAGTGTGTTCCCAGCTTTCAATGTTTGCGTGTCAGGGAGATCTCTCTTGGACCTTCAGGCCCACCGCCATCTCCTCTTTCTGAAGGGACTCCAAAAGGTTTAATGGATCATTGGTTCCTAACCAATTTCACCACATGTGGCAATTCATCTGTCTTGGACCAGAGAGCACTGCAGATCGTGGTGAAAATTCCCCCAAATTCCCAATTCCCAAATGGGACGAAATCCCAATTCATCACTTGAACTCCATCTCTCTGGGTTTCATGTGTCGTGGTCCGTACTGTGGACTGTGGATCCAGTGGTCCCATTTCAAGTTCTTGGTGAAATGTGTCATTTAAAAACACACATTGTAAAGTTGTTCGGGTCGTCTCCCACACTGGATCAACTAGAGGCCATGATTGTCATGGACACCTTCAGAGGACTCAGCACAGCTTCTTTCCCTCATCTGGCAACGTGCTCGGCCCACTACAGAATATCGTTGTCTCACTTATGACCAAAAGAATTGTATCTCATCTAAAAGAAAAGAATAGAAAAATGAAGCATGTGTACTGTTTGTTGTGTGTGTGTAGGATGTGGTGATAATGGTGCATTTGAGGACACTGGCCTTAAGGAAGAGGAGCCAGAAGAGAAGGAGTCCAGTAGGTTTACATTCTCATTTCGTCCTCCACCTTTCACCATCACAACATTCTGTTACGTTTCCACGCCACAGTTTTTGTTTTTCCATTCACATACCTTTCTCTGAGTTCAGTGTCAAAACAGAAAAATCAATAAACGTAACCCAACTCCTCAAAAAGTGGCGTTTTTTTTTTCCTTTTTGAAAAAGAGTTGATGTGCTTTATGGGTTATAGAAACCTTTAACAAAATACCTTCTGACATAGCAACTATAGCACAACCTGTATGAGACAAACACCTCTTTTAAAGGCAGTTATTATTATTATTATTAGACCAGATACATAGAGCAGCAGTTATAGTTGGTACTATAGTAGCAGTACTTGTACTCGTGGGACCGGCAATCATTCCCCCTGGGAAACAAAAGGAAAAATACACATTGATTTTATTTGTACATTAAGTAAAAGTTTCTCTCCTATTCTTTTCTCCCTCCTAACTGTACCTGTCTCGATCCTGCAGGTCACGGTGAAATGGTTCAGAGGATCTTGGATATCCTGCGTTTCTTATGGGCCATCGTTCTGGCCATGGTGGATGGACTGACTCAGTGGCTCAACCTGCTGACTAGACAGTACAGAGAGACGTCTACGGTTCTGTGCAACGAGCGCTACTTCGTCGTACACAAGATAAAGCAGGTAAACCCAACATTGGTCTTCTGGAACTGAACACTCAACACAGACAAACAGGTCCACAAATACTTTAAATTCAGACCGTCTCCCTCTGATTGGCAGCACGATACCACGGGAGACTTCACGGAAGACCAGGTGTCTCAGGGCAGTGAGAGCACCACGCTGGAGACTTGTTTGGATGAGACTGATGAGACAGACTCCAGACACAGGTTAGTGTGGACACCTTTACTAGCTCAGTATGTGATGAGAACATTGAAACATGGCCACGCCTGTGCTGTATTTGTTCATTACCGTCTGAAATGTACTGAGCATCTGTTCATCTGAATCAGCTGCCTCGAGGTGGATAGCCGTGGCGTGGCAGACCGGTCCCCCCCCAGGCAAACGCTCAACAGCACTGAGAGCCTCTTGCTTCCAGAACCCCCATCCAGTAGCATGGAGCTTGTACCTCCGCCCTCCAAACAGCAACACAGACAGTCCAGAACAGCCAGTGAGCTGCTGGGAGAAAGGTAGATAAAAACACGATCCAGTAGCTACTGGAAACCACCCTGGTTTCACAGAGGTTTGTGTCTCATAAGGATGTGATGGAGAATTTCACGTTGTGTTTAATTTGGTAAATTGACTGTACTTGTATGGCTGTTTTCTGATCTGCTTACAACTCCAATTTGGGTTCCAGCCCATCGCCTCGCTACAAACCTGTGCTTGTGACTTTATTTTCTCTCTCTCTGCAGGCAGTTCTTCATTAAGGAGCTGGAACAAAGCAGAGAGTTCTATAAGAACCAGAACCGTCTGCTGAAACTGCTGTTTGCCCTTCACGACCTGCTGGCAGCCAACTCAGAGCTGGTCTGCTATTTCATCATCGTGGTCAACAACGGGGTCAGTGCCTCTGTGATCTCACTGGTCCTCCCCATCCTGGTGTTCCTATGGGCCATGTTGGCCGTTCCAAGACCAACCAAGAGGTTTTGGATGACTGCTATAGTTTACACAGAGGTATGTTCACCGAGAGACGCACAGACCTGCACGAGAAAAACTAAAACACTTATTTGCTTCAAAAAAACAGAGGAAAATTGCTCGATGAACAATAAAATAATTGTATTGAGGTCGTGGTGAAACAACAGTTTATCATCATCATGACTGCATTGCTGTGCTGCTTTCTTTCCAGGTGATGGTGGTGGTGAAATACCTTTTCCAGTTTGGATTTTTTCCTTGGAACAGTGTTTATGAGATGACTTTAAATGAAGACAAGCCTTTCTTCCCACCTCGCATCCTCGGCCTGGAGAAGACCGACAATTACATCAGATATGATCTTCTTCAATTGCTGGCTCTGTTCTTCCACAGATCCCTTCTCATGGTTAGTTTTATGGGGTATTATTATCTATAGATGATTTCAACCTCCCACATCTGCAACCCTGTGTTTCCGCTTGTGTCTGTCCAGCGTTATGGCCTGTGGGACCACGAGGGGCCCCTGAAGGAGCAGAGCCCCTCACCAGAAAGTTGTAAGGATGAAGAAACAAAGAGGGAAGCAGATGAAGAGGGAAGGAAGAAGGAGGGTAGAGGACAAGAGGGGGAGGGCAGAGTTAGCTCAACATCTACCCTGGATAACCTGGAAATCACTGAACTGGACCCATTTGAAAAGGTTGGTGCAAATAATAATTACTGCCTTATCAATAACACGTTTTAAAGATTACTTTTGCTGGCTATTGACGGAAGCAGTGACGTCATGAAATGCTATTAGCAGACTTATTTTTAAACATATAATGTATTTCCCTTTAGGACAATGTGGACAATGTGGAACCCAGTACCAGCTCTGCTGCTGCAACCACCCCAGCGAACCCTACTGAGCGAGCAGCCGCTGGGTCAGATGTGCCTCAGAGGGCGTCTTGGCTTAAGGGCGGGTCGGACTCCCCCAGGAGGCGGAGGGAGGGTCACGTGCTGGGAGACAATGAGCAGGTGGTCCAGGAGGTCCCAAAGAAAAGCAGCAGTATTCGCTTCCGCCACAAACTTAAAAAAGCCAAACGACCAGTCAGCAAAGGTGTGTGGCTTCCTTCTCTGCAGGCTGTGTCACAAACACTGGCTCTTATTGGTATTTGGACAATGTCCCTTTCTGCAATGGTTTGGCTTGTTTTTAATTCTTTCACACAACTGCTTCTGTCTCTTTTTTGTGCGAACCTGTGCATGGACTCTTTTCTAGTCTTCTGACTACTCAAAGCTCTTTAACACAACGGGCCCGATGTACGCATCTGCGCCCACTTCAGGCCTTTTTGTTCACGCGTGAAAAGCATGGTGAGGTATCTACAAACAAGCCGCACTGAGCTAAAAGCAGCTGCCTGTCATGCGTATGCACACACACACGGGAGCGTCAACGGAAAAGTTGTTCTGGTGAAAATTCTCCGCCTCTTAAAAGCAGGTGTAAACCAGAATGCGGGTTTCATTCATGCAGGAAATCATTACTCGCTGGAGACCGAGCGGCCATGCAATGTTACAGTTACTGGAGGATGGACATCGCATCTCCTACTCGGCGTTCACATTCCATTCCTGCAGTTGTTAAACTCCTCGCTACATTGCAATGATTGGCATCAGGGTCGTAGCATCAGCAGGAATAGCAGCGAGGGAGAAAGAAACAGGCCGGGCCATTAAAACCAGGAAGGGCAAAAACAAACACTAGGAACTGGCTCGACACTTACAACTCGGGCAGGACGACAGAAAACTGGGGGGAAAGAGCGGGAAACTGAACAAATACAGGAAGTAAAGTGGTTAAAGGAATAAAACAGGAAGTTATTATTCGCGGCCTCTTTTAGGATGTAGAGCCTGTGTGACGTCATTCACCCGTTCGTACACGGATGAAGGGAGCTGGCACACACAGGGACACCCGCCCCTCGGTAACTAACGTTCACACGCCGTGGTCACAGCTGCAGGGGCTATTCGGGGTTAATTGTGGGGTCAAGCGGCCTTCGATTGAAGGACAACTTGTCTTGCCCATTTTAATGATGGCAGTTTTTCTCTTTGCCTTGTGTGGCTGTTTTAAGCACACGGGAACAACTTGCCGTGTCTCACTACCCAGAAGTTTTTAAACTATAATCAAAGGGGAAGTTCCAAGCAGATGCGTCCATTTTCATTCTGGGAAAGCGGTGCTCGAGATTACCTCTGCGTGCAGGCGTTTGGACCACGTCACACCCAAAGCGCGCGTAACAGAGCGACATTTCTTCAAGTCCTCTTTGGGGTTCGGACTGTTTCAGCGGAGCCCCCAGTTGAGACTGCAGACCCCAGTGGAGCAGAACCTGTGACGAAGAAGCAGAAGGGCCGCAGGAGCGAGGCAGCCAGTCGGAGATTGCAGGCAGCAGGACACAAGTTAAAACAAGTCTTCCTCTCTGGGTGAGCTGGATATGAAGACCCTCCAAAATAATGTATCAAAAGATTTCACTTGATGGCTGATTATTATTTATTATTATTCTTTATTCCATGTTTCTTTGCTTCCCTCTGCAGTATCCAGAGTGTGTACAGGCCAACGCGGGGATTCTTCATGGGCATTCTGCATGCTGAGCATCGGGCTGCCACAGACGTCTATGCACTCATGTTCCTCACTGACGTCGTTGACTTCGTCATCATCGTGTTTGGCTTCTGGGCGTTTGGGGTGAGAGATGGAAGCAAGTTATCACCACGTCGCTTATTATTAATAGGATGATTTTATGGAGAAACGGCAGCATGAAACACACGTCTCTCTCCTCCAGAAACACAGTGCAGCAGCAGACATAGCCTCCACCCTGTCAGAGGACCAGGTCCCTGAGGCCTTCCTGGTGATGCTGCTCATTCAGTTCAGCACCATGATCATCGACAGAGCCCTGTATCTGCGCAAGGCCGTGTTGGGAAAACTCATCTTCCAGGTTCGGATCCTCTACTCACATGTTTATCCTTCCCGTGTCTTTTGCAGTTGTCTCGTTGATCAGAGGACGATTAGAGTTGTCTCCTGTCGTTCCTCCTTTCCAGGTGATTCTGGTGTTTGGGATTCACTTCTGGATGTTCTTCATCTTGCCTGCCGTCACGGAGAGGTGAAGTTAAAATAAAATGTTTCATTGGAGTATTTTGGTGCCGTTGAGCAGTTGTTACAAATGGAATGGTGACATGTCAGAAAGACAAAAACACATATATGGGTTGAGTCTTGCGCTTACTGCCGCATACTGCTGCACGTTAATTAAGGAATGATTCTTCCTGGTTTGTCTTCTCTCTTCAGGAAGTTCAATCAGAATTTTGTGGCCCAGCTCTGGTACTTTGTCAAGTGCATTTACTTCGGCCTGTCGGCCTATCAGATCCGCTGTGCATACCCCACTCGTATCCTCGGCAACTTCCTCACCAAGAAATACAACCACCTCAACCTGTTCCTCTTCCAAGGGTATGTCGTTTCAATTTACACTTCTCTTTTAAGGACGGAAGCCCAAATCCAGTAGAAACGGCGTGGTTATTCTGTGATGACCTTTATCAGAGCGTTAGGAATCAGTGCGTAGTGTGTTTGCCCTCATCACCATGCGGTTGTTGTGCTTACGTGTGAGCAGCTTCCGTATGGTGCCGTTCCTGGTGGAGCTGCGAGCGGTGATGGATTGGGTTTGGACGGACACCACTCTCTCTCTGTCAGACTGGATGTGTGTGGAGGACATTTACGCCAACATCTTCATCATAAAGTGCAGCCGTGAGACAGAGAAGGTACGACGTGCATGAGTGACGTGGTATGATGTTACTGCACCAAACGACCACGGCAGAAGAAATCAAATTAAGGGGGGAAAGAAAGGAAGTTACTGTAACGAAATGTGAAAAATAAGCTTGCATTACCAAAACCAGACCACACTAGCACCAACATCTGTAAATATTGATGTGATTTAGCATTCGCAGCTCATTACACAATCACATGGTTACATGTGACAGAACAAAAAGACACTGAAGGCCTTAGAAGACATGACACAGAACGACGTACCGGGTGTATCCATGTAGCTTAAAGGTCTACAGTGGAGTGATTCTGTTGAAGGGCAAGTGTGGCAAAGTGTTCTGCATTCTTACTGCTTCCTTACTGGTCCAAACCTTTATTGCCTTTTCTGAATCTGAGGTTCTACTCTCTGACTTGGTCGACCTCTGAAATGCATGTCAGCTGCTTTAGAAAACCGGAAACCAACGCCTTGCAGATGCTCACGCTGCCGCCACAATTTGAAACAGCCAAATCAACAAAGCATTGTTGAGCATGTCCTATTTGGAATCCTCAACCTTCCCTGGAAGGGACAAAAAAGCGCCCAGCTTCTCACCCTATCCCTAAGGGAGACGCCAGCCACTCTCCTGAGTAAACCCATTTCGGCCGCTTGTACCCGTGACCTAGTTCTTTCGGTCATGAATGATATTTTTAAAAATGATATTTATTTACCATATTGTTTACCCTTAGAAATACCCACAGCCCAAAGGACAGAAGAAGAAGAAGATAGTGAAATATGGCATGGGTGGACTCATCATCGTCTTCTTGATCTGCATCATCTGGTTCCCCCTTCTCTTCATTTCATTGGTCCGTTCAGTTGTGGGTGTGGTCAACCACCCCATTGACGTCACCGTAACCGTCAAGCTGGGAGGATATGAGGTAATAAACATTTCATATTAATGCATTCATAATGATGTAATCATTCAAGCGTGTGAAACATTTCAGTAATGATGTGATGATGCTCGTCCCAGATTAGGATCAGAACTTGCTCAGTGTTACAGTACAGTCCGTACGTGTTCGGAAGGTTACAGGAAGTCTGTATGCTCTGTACCTTATAATTAGACTTGTATGTAAATGGTCCTGGAAGATTTACCAACCACATCCCAGATCCGATTCCAGTACGCACACTTTCACTCCCTCGGGGAAAAGAAATCAGTCGTAATGGATTCCAACAGTCTCCCTGTAGAACAGCCCGACAGAGTATCTTAAATGTGCATAATCCTCTGGTGTACTCTGTGTGTGCCTGTAGTCCCTGTTTACCATGAGTGTGCAGCAGCAGTCCATCCAGCCCTTTACACAGGTCGAATATGACCAACTCACCGGGAAGTTTGGAGACAACGCGGTGAGCACTGATTTCAGTTTGATGGATTTGTTTGTCTGTATGTTATTCTACTCTGTCTTTCCTGCTTTCATAGTGTTGTATATTCACTATTATTATTATGTTCTTTATAGCAGCGGCAGGCAAGTTATGTATTGTATTTGAATAATTGTGTCATTCTATAGACATGAAGGCCTATGAAAATCTAAATAGTCTAATTCTGTTTCCTAATTGAGTTGCTGTCTCTGTTCTTCATGCATACCTGTGTGTGTGCATCTAGGTGGCCATGCAGTTCATCACTCTCTACAGTTATGAGGATATCGTGACGGCCATGATTGAAGGAAGTTCTGGATCTGTGTGGAGGATCAGCCCTCCCAGCAGACAGGAAGTCATTAAGGAACTACTTGGAAGTCCTGTTGACCTGACGCTACGGCTGGCCTGGACCTTCCAGAGGTAAAACCGCTGCCTATAGGCTGAGAGGTGGCAGTGTTTACACATCAGGAGGGCGGCTGAGGCTGGAGAGGTCAGGTGGTCAGCAGGGGAAACGCACCAAACACAGATAACCATGCTGTCACACGGAGAGCAGGCCACTGGAGGAGCTATGAATCGGTATAATTCAGATGCTTAACCTAACAAGTGAATACAGTTAGCGCTTTGCCAACAGGTAAATAAAGGGGTCTCCGTTTTAATCCTCTGCATGTAGGGCTATTGATGCATGCTGTAGGCTATATATTGAAATGTAAACCCGAGTTAAGAACGGAAACACATAAAAGCATTAACCAACTGGCTGGATTCCAGTGCATGTCAGGTCATCATGGACGGTATCCTAGATCAGCTTCTCTTTAAATGGGGTCGACGTGGCTCAGGGGTAGAGAGGGAACCGCGAGGTTGGTAGTTCAAGCCCCGGCTGCTCCATGTCCCATGTCGAAGTGTCCCTGAGCAAGACACCTGACCCCTAATTGCTCTCTGGGCAAAAAAGTAAAAATAGAAGCCATGGGATAAAATGCAATGTAAGTCGCTTTGGATAAAAGCGTCAGCTAAATGACCTGTAATGGAAATGAAAATGAAAAATATAATTTAGAGCTCTTCAAACTTGTTTTTCAACGAGGTGGCGTCCACATCGGAAACCACCGTTGAAGAGTAAACTGCACGTAAAAGAGGCACCAGCTGTTTAACGTGCATCCCAACATGTTCAGCCACCAACCTCAGAGCCAACGATTACCTGCCATTCATTTATCAAATCAACCTCCTCACAGGCCGAAAAGGACAAATGAGATACTTTGAGTCCTATTATATGGGTACTTATTACATATTTGACTTGTTATTGTTATTATCTGTCTCTCTTCCTTAATGTTTGTGTCTCTGACAGAGACCTAGGTAAAGGAGGGACGGTGGAACACACCTTTGACAAACACTCCATAGACCTGGAACCTGGAAACCCCGTGCGAGCAGATCTGGCCTCTCTCCTGGTTGGGAATCGTACCCGTCCCGTGTGAGTGTCTCTTCGGGGGGGGCGTTTACGTGGACACACGACGTCCACGCTTGTATCTCACAAACCGTGTCTCGTGTCTTTCCCAGGCTCATTCCTAACATGCTCCCTAACTACATCCGTGCCCCCAATGGAGCTGAGGCCAAACCAGTCACTCAACTTTACAAAGGTCAAAGTTCATTCAGTTATTGCATAAATGTATGCAGTGTTTTAGTGTAACCTCTAATTCATCTTTCCCCTTGAAAGAGCCCAAAATCATCTTGAACCCTCGATGCCCCCCCCACATTAAACTTTATTATAATTACTATAGCAACACAGTCGCAAACTTGGCAGAATAATTGAGTGTCTTTTATAACACAAACGTGTTGTTTGTATGGTAGGTAATGAAGACGGCTACCTGAATATAACCCTGTCCCTGAAGAACGACGGCTCCCTCAATGGAAGTGCGAACCAGGAGTGGTGGGACATTGCCATCGCCGGCTGTGCGTCCTCCTCGTGTGGGGTTTTACCCATAGTCATATTCAATGACAAAGTCAGTCCACCAAGCCTAGGCTTCTTGGCTGGATATGGGTGAGTACTCACACTCGACGTTTATATGTAATGTAACAAAAGGATTCGTGTAAAACACCAGTCAAAGGTTTGCACACAATTTCTTGTTGAATTGAATGAGAAAATAAGTCTTTAGACTTGAACTGTAAACTAAATATGGTCCACGGTTCAGTGTCAGAATATGAAACAGTCATCCGTCCATTCGTCCAGTTTTGACTCCTTATTCAGGACTCGGCCTTGGTCTTGGCGGCACAAAGCCAAGGAAACAATTCCACATGTCTCTCTCCCGTAGTGAAGTCCCCGGCCAGCGCACTAATGTGTGTGTTATTTTCTGTCCCTCCAGGATCATGGGTCTCTACGTGTCTGTGGTCTTGGTCATTGGCAAGTTTGTGCGTGGCTTCTTCAGTGAGATCTCCCATTCCATCATGTTTGAGGAGCTGCCCTGTGTGGACCGCATCCTGAAGCTCTGCACGGACATCTTTCTGGTAAGTGTGCAGTGTTAACACACACATTCTTCTCCGCACACATCAGGAATTAAGTCAAATATGTGTTCCACGTGTGAACGAGCAGAATTATGGAATAATCCCATGATTAGCATGTTTTATAAACGCCAGTATTGATGCCATATTGTTGAAAGTGCCATTGGAAATATATTTCTTATCACCCTCGACTACCAGCTAATGTCTTTTTTTGTGATCCAGGTGCGTGAGACAGGAGAGCTGGAACTAGAAGAGGAACTTTACTCCAAACTGATCTTCCTCTACCGATCTCCAGAGACTATGATCAAATGGACCCGGGACATGCGCAGCCGAGACCACGCGGACTGACCGACCCACCGCCGCCGTTGGGTCGTGATACCAAACAGTGATGCTCAAGACAAGCAGGCAGGCTTCTAGAGGACACACTCCTTTCTAGACGTGACTTTGTCTTACAGAGACTACCGAAAGGGAGACGCACGCTAATAGAGGCACCGTGGGAAACATCCATTGCTGTTCTTCACAGCTGACTGAGCACTTTCATGAAACCGCCTCACTCATTGAGAGAGCCGTTCCACGGGGGACTGGATGTACAGCAGCTGGATGTCTATCCTGGACGACTTGGATATATTTTCCATGGAAGATACGATTAATCAAATCAAGCTGTGCTAATGGTAATGTTCAAAGGTCAAGACAATCCTGACCTCCATTTTTTTTTTTTGGAGGCACCCAAGTGGAGCGACTGTGGCTAAAGCCTGAAATAAAATCTAGGACGAATCATACGCAATCACTGTCCCGCCAGGCAATTCATTTTAAAATAAACCGTGCTGTCAACCTTACATGAGTCCTTAACGCAGCAGCCGGGTCCTTCTTGTTATTCCTTTTATTATCGCAGCACACCAGAGAGTATTTCACATTTTCCTGTTCCTGATAATTTATGAAGGCCGTTAGAATCTTTTTTGAAATCATGAATTTTATAAAAGCAACTTATCGGCAATCTTTATTTAATTTTACTCTCTGAACCGATGTGCCTTAAAGCGGCTCCACGTGGTTTTATTTCCTTTGCAAAATTCTGATTTTGGAATAATCAAAAGCAGCTTTTCTCAGCCAAAGGAATATAATTGTATGCGGCATATACACTACACTCAAAGAAATGTTTGTCACTATTGTGTTGGCTCACAGATCTGGTGATCCTAGAGACGATATAAATAAATGAATAAAACTCATTGTCTTAAAATAAATCACAACCAAATACATCGATTTGTTTTGCGCCCTCGGTATGCAGCGCTGTTGTTCGGTTACCGCCATTGCTCGTAATTTTTAGCATTTGGGCCAGCTCTTTGGTCGTTTGAGCAGAGGCCTGCTGGAGGTCATTCTGTAGGCCTCGGGCCTTCTGCTCGCACAAGGCAGCAATCGTTTCTGCTGAAGGGTCGAGGACCTTCTACGGGAATTGAATTGGCCTCCACATGCAAAAGCTGTCCTGTTTGGGGGGCGTCTCATTGTTTCCTAACCCTAACCTCCTCTGCTATTCACCTAAGCGGATCATTTTCAGAGAAGTGCATTTGAATCGATGCCTTACCCTGATAAAAGATTCTTCCTTTCTTTGAGCAGTGACCATCGGCCCCATTAGGACACTGGCCACTGCACAGAACAGCGGAGAGTAATTCCGACTAAAGGTGAAATGACTAATATATTGTACATATATATATATATTGCATACATATATTGTCAGTAATTCTGAAATGGTTTCAACCATTTGTTGAGTGAATATAGTCTTAGTGTGTCCCGGGGAGAGTGAAGTTGAGTGTGCACCATCTTGCCATATGTGTGGATTAAAGAACATTTCTCAAATTCAAATCAATTATAAGTCACAATAAATAATAAATCACAAATTTGCCTCAGTAATATATAGATAAAAAGACTTTGTGAGGATGGGACCTTCATAATATATCTTGCTTCACTCTGCAGCACAGACTGATCTAATTCCAGCCGTGTGCTTCACTTAGTATTCCCTTGAAAATGCTTCTGTTTCATGGGGCTGCAGCCGCTGGCTTTTGCATTTTGTTTTGTTCTTTATCGCAGTGATTTTTCTAGTTGCGATGTGTGCGCCCAAATATGTGACGTTTTGTCTAAATACAATAAAAAATATTGTAATTTGGAAAATGTGTTTGCTGAAAATGACAACTGGTCATAACAGAGAAGATGCAGTGTTTTCAGACCTCGAATAATGCAAAGAAAACCAGTTCAAATGTATTTTTAAACAAAAAATTATGTTTTACATTATTGCGGCTCAGCCCCCGCCATAGCCCCCCCTCAAGGGCCGGATCCCAGACGGCCCTCAAATCACCAACGGGAGGGTGGGAGAGGACGAGAGGATGGGAGGGAGGGAGCCTGAGTCGGGGAGCGGGGACTGGAGGCATCGGGGTCATGAGTCTCGGGGCCGGTACTGGCGGGGTCGGGGCAGAGAGTCTCGGGGCTGGTACTGGCGGGACGGGGCAGAGAGTCTCGGGGCCGGTACTGGCGGGGTCGGGGCAGAGAGTCTCGGGGCCGGTACTGGCGGGGTCGGGGCAGAGAGTCTCGGGGCTGGTACTGGCGGGGTCGGGGCAGAGAGTCTCGGGGCCGGTACTGGCGGGGTCGGGGCAGAGAGTCTTGGCGCCGGTACTGGCGGGGTCGGGGCAGAGAGTCTCGGGGCTGGTACTGGCGGGGTCGGGGCAGAGAGTCTCGGGGCCGGTACTGGCGGGGTCGGGGCAGAGAGTCTCGGGGCCGGTACTGGCGGGGTCGGGGCAGAGAGTCTCGGGGCCGGTACTGGCGGCGTCGGGGCAGAGAGTCTTGGCGCCGGTACTGGCGGGGTCGGGGCAGAGAGTCTCGGGGCTGGTACTGGCGGGGGTCGGGGCAGAGAGTCTCGGGGCCGGTACTGGGGGGTCGGGGCAGAGAGTCTCGGGGCCGGTACTGGCGGGGTCGGGGCAGAGAGTCTCGGGGCCGGTACTGGCGGCGTCGGGGCAGAGAGTCTCGGGGCCGGTACTGGCAGGGTCGGGGGAGCTAGTCTGGCAGCGGGAACGGGGGATCGCTGCGGCGGCCCAGCGGGAACGGGAGAGGGCCGCTTCCGCTTGGCAGGGCTCCTCCTGGGATTTAGGAAGTCCCGGAGCTCGAGGCAGGCGAGCTGATAACTCGTGGGACCAAACACAAGGTTTGTCTTACGCTGCCAGAACGGGCTCCTCACATCCATATAGTCGGGCCCGTAATCTGGCAGCAGGTCTGCTGAGACCCGCTGAGACACAAGAGACACACGGCTTAAATACACTAGAGAGGTGCAGGTGATTGGACACAGGTGGAAACAATCAGACAATTACAGGGGATGACAGGACAAGGCAGGAAGTGAAGTTACCCGGGGAGACAAGAAGCAGAAAACTACAAAATAAGACAGGAAATAAAACCAAACCGTGACAGATATAGACTAATGATCTCCTTTCATAAATCAGTTCTTATATAATCAAGTTAAAATTCAATTGTTTGTAGTAAATTGTATAAAGACATTAATTGTATTTCTCTTTTTTGAAGTCTTTAACCCCTCAAAGGTCTTAAACATGACATTTCATCATTCACCCCCATTTTACTTTACATTACATGTCATTTAGCTGACGCTTTTATCCAAAGCGATTCACAATTTAATTTATTGATTTAAAAAGTAAAAAGAACATGTGAACATTTGCACAGCATAACTGGGACACTTGAACGGAGCCAACATTCACTCTCCAGTGAGCACTACATTTTGATTTTGGATATTAAAGGTTTATTTGTTATATATTTCCACAATGTCATTTGGCAAGAATGACTCAGAGGGAAAGTCGTGTGCACACCATGGAGACCACGTTTTTCTTGCCCTGCTGATCTTTTGAGAGTTCTACACAGTGGATAGTTAACACTAAGAATTCAGACAAACAAATAAGGAAAAAGGACAAAGACCATTAATAGTGCACTATGTAACACATAGGAGTCATCGTCAATACAGAAGCTCACAGACATAAATATAAATATCGCTCTTTCACTGTACATTTCCAAGGTGTCCAGGTCAAGTGGCATACTGTTCTCAGCGTACACAGCACCTTTCAGACAGTTAGATTCAATTTTAACTGTAAGCTGGTGTTCATATTGTCCCAATCTTGTCAGTGTTAAATCAACACTCAACGTGTTAACAAGTTAACTCGGGAATAAGTGTCAAAAATAAATCTAAATCTAGTATGAGTGTGTAAGTATGTGAAAGTATTTGTGTAATGTCTTGGTCATTAATTAGATGTTGTGGATTAGATTTATTACTGATCATTACAGCAGCAGACTTCTAAAGCCCCCCAAACAGAACGCTTGGTGTGATGGCATTCCATGGGAAACGATCCTGGCAGATCAGTGAGGACTACAACACCACCTTGTGGACGGATCCATTGGCGAGCAGCTCCTTTATCTTCGGACAAAATGAACATAAACTTTCGGGATAGAAACCACATGCTGGCGTTGCACCACTTACAGGTGTGTGGCTCGTTGGCGAGCGTGGTCATCCTTCAATCAGGGGATCGGCAGTTCGATTCTCGGCTACACAAAAGTTAGGCCCAATCCTGATCTCCACCCTTACACATTTACAGCTTTGAGGCGAGTCCTTGCTCACTGCGTGAGTGTTTGAGACACTTTGAGCCCTTCATGAACCCTTCTTATGTCAGCAATGGATACAGACTTTACCCAAGTAAACAAGCTATAGTTTCTGTCAACAGGACAAATAAGTGAGACAGGACAAATACTCAACAGCAGTGTGTCCGCTGTGGAGACCTTCAGGGTTCTGGGATCCCCAATCTCACGGAACCTGAAGTTGGCCTCCATCATCAACGGCATCAGGAGGAAGGCCCAGCAGAGGCTGTACTTTAACGCCCCTCAGGAGCTGCTGGTCCTGTCTACTCCACCATCAGCAGTCTCTTCTCTGTTCCTCCATCTTTGTGTGGTGTGGATCGGCCACGAAACAGATGACAACAGAAAACCATGGCTCCTCCATCCTGGACCGGTGCACCTCCGGAGTCAGGAAACAGATTACTGAATATATATATATATATATATATATATATACATACATACATTTGGGGTGTACATTTTATAGTTAAATGTCTATACATACATCCGTTCTACTTCATGAATTTTTATTTCTTATTTTCCATGTGGAAACCTATTCCATGGCCGGGGGTGGGTTAATTAATATTATTGGAAAGAAGTGAGACCGACTCTACTTACTTTAGATCAGCGGTTCCCAAACTCAAGAATGCCGCGGCCCAATCTGAAATGTGAAAATCTTTTGTGGCCCACCCAAACCTTTAATCACAACTCTGATCAAAACATAAACTAGGGATGATTAAATGACCTTAAGAATTTAACCGATTAAATATGTATTAACCGACAATGTATGTTTTGTATACCATTTTCTCCAGAGCTCATAGATCCATCCATCCATCCATTGTCAAACCGCTTATCCTGCACACAGGGTCGCGAGGGGGCTGGAGTCCATCCCAGCCAACTTCGGGCGATAGACAGGGTACATCCTGGATAGGGCTACACAGAGACACACAACCATTCACACTCACATTCACACAGCTACGGGCAATTTAAAGTCCTTAATCAACCTGATCCCCAGAGCATGTCTTTGGACTGTGGGAGGAAGCCGGAGAACCCGGAGAGAACCCACGCAGACACGGGGAGAACATGCAGACTCCACACAGAAAGGCCACTGGGCGGAGTGGAACCCAGGACCTTCTTGCTGTGAGGCAACAGTGCTAACCACCACGCCACCGTGCCGCCCGAGCTCATAGATATTAACTTTAATACTACAAGAGGGCGCCCCATTTGACATTGATTTGTTTGGCGGCGCCTTTTGTTGAACAACGACAGGCGGACAAGAGCAGCCGTTTCCAGCGAGAGCCTTATTGTTTTATTAATCTGTTCGTTTAAATTGTTTGTGCTTCATCAATTCATGTTTCACATAACTAATATGCCGCTAGAATTGTTCAAATAATACTTAAACTGAGAAAAAGATTTTTGTACGTTTTGTATCTTATCAATTATCAATCGTTTTAAGTAAAATACAGAAATTTGCAACCCTAATGTTGCGACCAGGTCTTAGGTAGGAAACAGGAAAGAGTGAGAGCACTATCCAACTTTGCGTTTGTTTTTTTGTATTTATTTGGGGCTGGGAGAACAACTTCAGGAGCCAACAAGACCAAAAAAAAAAACCTCTAACTTTTAAAAGGAAACTAACTAACCTAAGCAAACAAAAAATAAAATCAATATACACCGTTCTTCCCTAACTCAAAAACAGATGACAAAAAGAAAGAACATGTCATCAAACTCCCTACTTCCCTGCACAAAATATACAAGTGTTAGGTTTAATGCACAACAATATACACATTTAATGTACAACTATATACACAGCAAACAGATTCAAACGGGCAAGGCAAGAATAACACGTAATTTAAATCATAAATATTTTTATAATAATTTCAAACTTTTCAAAATTGAAAATCAAAAACATTTTATTCATTTATTGTAAATGACCTCTCGCGGCCCACCTGCAGCTCCTGGGCCGCGGCCCACACTTTGGGAATCGCTGCTTTAGATGATGGATTTGATGTTTGAAGTCCGAGTCCACTCCGCGCCGCTCTGTGGCGCTCGAGCGCAAAACGACAGAAAGACCTCAAAAAAGAAAAAAGGACCCAGCGCCACTTCCGGCGTGTGACGTGTTGGCCGCTGCAGAACCGGATGTTGGTGCGTCTCCGGTTCAGGTTTCAGATGCCAGTGGAACCGAGCGGAGGATAAAGTCTTCGTTAACTAACTAACTAGCGTTATCTGACGCCGAGTCGGCGAGGCGATGCTGCGGCGGCTTCTCGCAGCGGCGCTGCTGTCTGCGGCCGCCGGCTTCTACCTGCCGGGACTCGCTCCCGTGAGCTTCTGTGAGCCCGGAAAGAACCAAGTTCCAGACTGCAAGGTAAACACGCCACATGCGGGCGACTCTAGAAGTCCTTCTCATAGCGGCGCCACCGAGCAACACACAACGGCTCCTTGTAAACAGCTGGCGTGACGCGGCTAACGGCGTCTGCTAAGCTAGCGGTCTGGACGCCAGCGTTAGCTGCGCAGCATTAGCCGAACTAAAGTAGTTTGGACTTTAACTTGACAGCACCACGACTCTAGATCAGCCCGAAAAACACGTCACGGGACACTGAGACACGCTGGACTGGACACAAGCAGCTGCACGCAGAGCTGTTTGACGGACTGCAGCGTTCTACTCATTGAAATCCTTCCCCGAGTGCCGTGCGTCACTTTAACGTCCCCAAGTCAAACCCACACCTGCAAAATGCTGTTTACTGGTTGCAACTACAGCGTCTATGTGCAGAAAACCATTCACGTTATTGGGGAATAAGTATCCACCATCATACGGGCATTTTAGCGATAAAGAAGCTGCTGTTGACTCGCGTGTCCGCTGTGTTTCCTCCCAGTCGACCATCGAGCTGTTTGTGAACCGGTTGGACTCCGTGGAGTCGGTTCTGCCGTATGAGTACACTGCGTAAGTGGACCCGGTAACTCTGATTCCCTCCAACTTGCTTCCTTTATCTGAAAGAATCGTTGTTTCAGTTTAAAGCTAAAGGAGATAAATACGTTTGTTATGCATTAAATTCCTTCTGCTATAAGTTGTATATTGTAATATAAGCATGTTATTAATGTATTATGTCTTTATTGACATCAGATTTAATGGTAATAATTTCTGTTTAGATATAATGTTTAAAAATCATTATATTTACTTAACTGACGTTAGATTTGCGTCACGCACGAGCCGAAGAAGGATATGATAATGTATCGAACGTCTGGTGTAATAAAAGTGAATCTCCAGCGATGACGGGAACTGTTGAGGTGTGCTGGTGGTTTGAGTGGCGTTAAAGCAGCCGCGTGTCCACATCTACGGCGCCATGTTAACTGAACGGGTTTGATGCTGTCAACTGTTTGCTCAGGTTCGACTTTTGCTCAAAAGACACAAAGAATCGTCCATCGGAGAATCTGGGCCAGGTTCTTTTTGGGGAGAGGATTGAGTCGTCCCCATACAAGGTAACGCATCTACAGCAGCGCTGCTGAGCAGATGAGTCTCAGTGGCCTTGTTCACACACACACAATACAATCCATTCTTTAGGCCGGGTACAGAAAATGGGGTGATGGCTGGGATGACGGGGGGGGTGTAGAGGGTTTCCTCTAATCACAAGGTTGGCAGTTTGACCCCTGACCCCTCCTCTTTGAGCGAGACTCTGAACCCCGAGTTGCTCAACCGGCCTCCTCAAAGTAACGTTAATAAGAAGGCGATTCAAGATTGAGCAGGATAGCAGCTGACGAGGAGGAGGAGGAGGAGGTGTCAGACTCCACCATCTAAAACACATCCAAAGTCCAAACCTCATACGCATAGTTTGGAGTTTAAAATATATTAATCCTTACGGTGTGTTCCCCCGCGTTACCAGTAGAGTGAACATTGTAGATGTTTTGATTGAGAGTTTTGTGATTTCATTTCATAACAAAATTCTCAAGTTTCTGTTAATTCAGAAAGGGAACAACTCCCATAAATATGGATTCAGGATGTGCTGACATGGTCAGCGTGTTAAAAACAATTGTCTCAACAATTACTTTGAATGAGACACAGTGTCAGAAAAATCTGATCCTGAATGAGTTGTAATGATACTGAGAGACTTTGTCAGCCGGTCGCTGCGTTATTAAAGAGCAACCCGGCCAACTGTGTTTCAGTTTGAGTTTAAGAAGCCTGTGGCGTGTGAGAAGGTGTGCACGCAGACCTACGACACCAGCAAGCCATCGGACAAAGCCAAGCTGGACTTCCTCAAGAAAGGCATGTTACTCAACTACCAGCATCACTGGTGTGTATGATCCACTGACACACACACACACACACACTCGTAGAGACGGATTTACACCTCCACGGGGGAACAAACACCACAACACGTCCAACGGGACCAAAGTACACGGCCAGCTAAGCGGCTCGACGGGATTTCCCATCGATAAGCTCCACAGTTGTTGTGTTCCACTTGTTTGTCCGTTGTTGTGACTCCCACCTAAAGTCAAATGTCTCAATCTGCATTAACTAGAGTCGGTGGTCAGTCTCGTATTAGCGATTGTTTGCTGGTCACGTTCACTCATTTGAATGATTACTTCTGCAAACGGCTGAACCATCAGGCGTTGGAGGAGCATAAAAAGACACTTGTGTTACAATCTAGTGCCATTCAGTGACGCAGTCATCACCTTCCTGCTTAGCCTGGGACGAGAAACAGACTATTTAGATAGAGAAGGCGTTGCTGTCCTGTGTGCGGTGGACCTTTAGTCCCGAGTGAGCATCACAGGCTTCTGTTTTGTGTGAAGGATTGTGGATAACATGCCGGTCACTTGGTGCTACGATGTTGAAGACGGACAGAAGTTCTGCAATCCTGGTTTCCCCATCGGCTGTTTCGTCACAGAAGCAGGTCGGCCCAAAGACGCCTGCGTGGTCAACGTGAGTAGGTGGCACGTGGACACACACACACACACACACACAGAGCCCTGTGTGAGGGTATAAGTAGCATTTTAGCCAGTCAATCATATTCACAAAGGACCAGTAATGAATTGGATTCATTCTGTCTGCACATGTTTGTCTGTCCACATGGATGCTCCTATAATAACATTACTACCCTGTCTCTGCTTTTTGGTTTCCCAGTCTAACTTTAATGAAAAGGATGCTTTTTACATCTTTAACCACGTGGACATCACCATCCATTACCACATCGTAGAGCATGAGCAGCTGGGAGCTCGACTCGTTGCTGCCAAGATTGAACCCAAAAGGTGATCATTTTATTTGGAATGGAACCTTCCTCAACCAGTGACCCTTCATTAGCTCATTAAAATGGAACCCGTCTGTCTGTCCATCCTCAGGCCATTTTCACCCATTAGATTTCATATATTGTGCACTGGTTACATTGTAATTTCTTCTGAAATGCACACTGGTTCTATTGTTTCATTGTTGTTCATTTGAAAGCTTTTGTTTGAAACATTCCGCTCGCGGCGGGTTATTTTTCCTTTTCGGGGGGTGTCCTCTGGCGCTTTCACCCACTAGTAGACCTGACTAGGTATTAACGAGCGTTCTAATGTGATCCCATCTCAATACGTGAATTAGCTTGTAAGCTGTACTGGTTTCGTCCCCCTCTGTTCAGCTTTGAGGGCCCCGGTGAAGATGGCCAGGCTTGCTCTGGGGGGCCCAAGTTCCTGAGAAACAAACACTCTGGAGTGTTTGAGATTCCATACACCTACTCGGTCAACTTTGTGGTAAGAACAACGGTGCTTTTTGTAAGGAGACGTGGGCTACAAACTGAAACGTGATGGCACTCATGTAGTTCTAACATAACACCTGTAACGGCTGAAGACGTTTCAAACTCCAGATGGAAAATGTGCAGTTTCTCTGTGGCTGAGTGGAGCTGCTGCATCTCCAGCTGTAAATGCATTCGCTGATACAAAAGATGAAGTCAAGACTTTACCAGAGCTTCACTGAGGAAATACTTTTAAACTCCCTGCCTCTTCAAAAACACTACTTCTCAGTTACTAAGAGTTCTCTGTAAACCTCAGAGACGATGGTGCGATAGAATCCCAGTAGAGCAGCAGTTTGTGACGTACTCAGACCAGCCATCCACGTTCAGAGTCTCTTCATTCTACTTTCTTCCCCATTGTGATGCTCAGCAAGTTGTCTTGTACACGTCTACAGGCCTAATAAATACAGTACCTGCTGAAGTGCCCAGTTGGTGTATCCTTTGTATTTTTGCGTTGTAGGAGGACAAGAATATCCGTTGGGCATCTAGATGGGACTACATCCTGGAGTCAATGCCTCACACCAACATCCAGTGGTTCAGGTTAGACTCTAAACACACACACACACACACACACACACACACACTTGCATTCATTTTCTGCCACCATTTGCAGATCTGGAAAACTTAATGTAAATGCTCAAGTTAATCCATATTTTAAGCTTGTGTTCTGCCTTTGGATATTTGGGAAGTCCATTGGCTCAAAGACAAGATTTACAGAATCAGTTTACATGCAAAAGGTCTTTGAAATAGATGTTCTGTGGAAAGCAACCATCTGTATACAGTTTCATTAAAGCCTTATTCCCACATGGATTAAACTCATCCGGCGACAGAGTATTCACATCCTCTGCTGAGCACTTCTTGAGTCTGATGCTACCACCTCAGCACACCCTGTTTCCTGGAGGTTTCTGCCATCTTCTCAGCACAACCTCTCCAGTTCCATCAGGTCGGATGGGGAGCGTCGCTGCACAGCCTTAAGTGGCCTCAGGACTCTCAGGGACGTCCACAAGTTGTCCCCCAGCCTGATAAACCATCAGCCCAGTGTGAGCTGCAGAGCGCTCTGCAGCAGGTTTCCATCCAGGATGTCTCTGTACATCGTTCCCTCCATCCTGACTAGTGTCCCACTTCCTCCTGCTGAAGAACATCCCACAGCGTGACGCTCCCCTGTAGGGATGCTATTGGCCAGGTGATGAGCAGGGGCTGCTTTCCTGCAGACACCACGCTTGGCATTCAGGCCAAAGACCTCGATCCGAGTTCCATCAGACCAGAGGTCTTTGTTTCTCGTGGTCTGAGAGTCCTTCAGGTGCTTTTTTGCAAACTCCAGGCGGGCTGTCATGTGCGTTTTACTGAGGAGTGGCTTCCGTCCTCTACCACACAGGCCTGATGTGTGGAGTGCTGCAGAGACGTTTGTCCTTCTGGAAGGATCTTCTCTCATCATTCTAAACATCTGAAGGAGGATCAGTGGAAACAGGATGGACCTGAGCTCCATTTAGAGTGTCGTGGTAAAGGCTGTGAATACTGTAGAATTTTGAGGGGCAAAAAATGACAAGCAAAATGTGGGGAAATATGACCTGTATTATCAGCAATAAGATATGGATTCAGACTCTGAGCAGTCATCAGTATTTTATGACGTAGCACTCATTGATTCCTTCAACCCGATTCGATCCGCCTATGAGCTACAAACAAACTCGGATTCAGAATGAACTAAGAAGTGAATTGTGGCTTTTTTCTTCCCAGCATAATGAACTCCTTGGTGATTGTGTTGTTCCTGTCTGGAATGGTAGCAATGATCCTGCTGAGGACTCTGCATAAAGACATCGCCCGGTACAATCAGATGGACTCTGTGGTGAGTACATGTGCAACGCTGCCAGGCGGGACGCACCGAGGGCCACCAGGGGCTCCTGTTCTCATAGGCTCTGCTCTCCAGGAGGACGCTCAGGAGGAGTTTGGGTGGAAGTTGGTCCATGGAGACGTCTTCCGACCTCCAAGAAAGGGAATGCTGCTGTCAGTGTTCCTCGGCTCTGGAACCCAGATCTTCATTATGACCTTCGTCACCCTTTGTACGTCCTTATACTTTACCCGTTATCATAACGATCTACTTTTTTACAAGAATATAAAAGTGTGTGTGTGTGTGTGTATATAGAACGACATGGTTGTGAGTCATGCACCAATCAGGAACCAGATGTCAGATGTCCTCCACAGAGAGGAACAAAACCCTCATCTTGGAACCTTTTGAAATGTTAAACACGTGTTTATTACCAACTAACGGAACGATGTGCCCCCCCTCCAGTCTTTGCCTGTCTGGGGTTCCTCTCCCCTGCGAACCGCGGGGCTCTGATGACGTGTGCCGTGGTGCTCTGGGTTCTTCTGGGCGCTCCTGCTGGATACGTGGCTGCTCGCCTCTACCGATGTAAGTGTGGCAGAAGAAAGAAGCGAGGAAAGAATTCCTCACTTGATTTCTGTAAATCCTTTTCTTTTATGTTTGAACGGGCAGCTTTCGGAGGAGAGAAGTGGAAGACCAACGTTCTGCTGACGGCCTTCCTCTGCCCCGGGTACGGCCGCTATGACCTCATGAAGGACACGAGTCCGTGAGCCCCCGTGCTGACCGTCCTCTCCGTGTCCGCTCAGGGTGGTGTTTGCAGACTTCTTTGTGATGAACCTGATCCTGTGGGGTGAAGGCTCCTCAGCCGCCATGCCGTTCGGGACCCTGGTAGCCATACTGGCTCTTTGGTTCTGTATCTCGGTGCCGCTCACCTTCATAGGGGCTTACTTTGGCTTCAAGAAGGCAGTGAGTAGATCCAAACCCACAGATGCTCCTGGCTCAGGCACTCTGCCAGCAACTGTTTCTATTCCGTTTGAGTCTCTTCTCTCTCCACTGTGACCGTGTGTTTCAGGGGATTGAGCACCCAGTGCGGACCAATCAGATTCCTCGCCAGGTGCCGGAGCAGTCCTTCTACACGAAGCCCCTGCCTGGCATCGTCATGGGGGGAATTCTGCCTTTTGGGTGTATATTTATCCAGCTGTTCTTCATATTGAACTCCATCTGGTGAGAATGAAGGCGGCCGTAGAAAGTCTAGACACAACGTGTAGGAAAGCTGAGAATCGGCCACGGCAGCTCTGAAGAAGAGAGCCTGAAACACACCTACGGGTGTGTGTGTGTGTGTGTGTGTGTGTGTGTGGGCTCAATGGGAGGCCTTCCCTTATGAGCTGTATTCTTCTGCTGGAGCACACAATGACTTCTCATCAACATTAAGTAGTAATTTGTCCTGTCGAAACTGTGACTTGTGCTCTTCTTGTTTTCGAACGCTGTATCATCCAAAGATGGCAGCAAACGAGCTAACAGGGACCTGCTTGCGTCTTTCCTCCAGGTCCCATCAGATGTACTACATGTTCGGCTTCCTTTTCCTCGTCTTCATCATCTTGGTCATCACCTGCTCCGAGGCCACCATCCTGCTTTGCTACTTCCACTTATGTGCCGAGGTAAACCTCAATATTCCCGTGCATTATGTTCAAGAGCTGAGCACATGTCCCATGAGCAACGGTTGAGTGCCAGTAATAAACTTTAAATAAGTAAATGGACTGTAGAGCTCCAGTCAATGTTAATAAGATGATAAGATAGCGGTGTTGTTTTCAGCGGCTCTCAGTCCTTGTAGCCGGTTGGTCAGTAGATGCCCGTCTTCCTCCTCCTGCGCTGTGACTCTGTCTCTGGTCCACAGGACTACCATTGGCAGTGGCGTTCCTTCCTCACCAGCGGCTTCACTGCGCTCTATTTCCTCGTCTACGCCATTCATTACTTTTTCTCCAAGCTGCAAATCACTGGACTGGCCAGCACCATCCTGTACTTCGGGTACACCATGATCATGGCTCTCATCTTTTTCTTATTCACAGGTACGTATTTGTTCGCAGGTGACTAATGATACATCACATTGCATCTGAGGGCAGAAGACGTAAAGTCTTGTTCATCTGCACTGATGTTCCTCATTCAACTCCAACAGATATAAAATGTCCAACATTCCCCTATTTAGCTTTAGCCACTAAATGCTCCCCATGTTTACTTGCTGGTTCTCCACGTTCACATGCAAACTGGTCTACATTGACGATCACAGCAGCCTCCACGTGGCATAACGACTCTTATTTGCGTCTGGAAGAGTAGACGAGTTTTTCCGAGTTCCAGTGTGAAACCCTTTGTTGCGTCGTAGGTGGAGACTCAGAAACGTCATTTCTAACAGAAGGTGCATCTCCTCTGTTCTCAGGTTCAATCGGCTTCTTCGCCTGTTTCTGGTTTGTTACCAAGATCTACAGTGTGGTCAAAGTGGACTGAAGGATCCAAACTGTCAACAGTCCACCGGCTGCGAATTGGTTTTCTCCCATAAACCTGCGGAACTGAACCGTGTGAACAGTGAACCATCGCCGCCTCATTTCCTCAGAGAGAACGCTGGACTATGATGTTTGCATGTGAGTGGGCTGTCGTACGTAGAGCATCTATCTGCTTCCTGCAGCCACACGGCATGGCAGCCTTCCGAATCTGTTTCACGATCCATGGACTGTTTCACAATGTATTTGGTGATTGTAGCCAAATGAGTATGTGAAGGTCTGCTTCTTAACTTTACTTTTTTTGGATGTTGTGTTAAAATGTGCCCCAATATGTGTTTGCATCCACATATAAACACAGAAAGGGTTCAGAAGGGCTCCTCAGACTGTTTGCTGATCCGTTGTCCTTTCGGGGAGGTGCAGGCTCTTGTCCTGTTGCCACCTTGTTTCTAATGGAGGAGTCCATGTGAGGTTTCTAAAAAGATCTCGGCCTTGTTTCCTCTCCTGAGCTCACTAAACTCGACATCCTAGCGATGCAGCACAAACCCGACGTGTTACCGACACATTTATGCTCAGGATCCACTCAGTAGAAATACAGCAGAGCACAAGTTTAAAATGAATATTCCAGTTAGTGTTAGGGGATTTTAATATAGCAGTCCAATTTGAAACGTAAAAAAATCTATTTAGTTTTTCCAACAGTATGCACATATGAATGGTAAATAAACCCATTATGAATATGAGGAAACCAATATGTGACATTTTGTTTTAAAGTACTGGACCATGTAGTAACTGGGTTTGACTCACTGAAAAAGAAATTCACAACCACGTGCAACCAACTAATAATTAATATATATTCTGGGCCGTCATTGAAGTTCTAAAGACCAGATGGAAGAGGCGGAATGTGGGGATGAACCTCCACGTTACGGCCCGAAGGCAGGAAACAACCTGGACGTCGGACCAACAAGGTGTCGCTCACTCGTTCACTGGAATTGGAGGCTTTACGTTGAGCTGTTCTATATAAAGAAAAGCATGTATTAATTCATTCACTAGTGTTTGTTTCTAATTACCTGCCATAAAACGTTTTAATGGACGAAATAATCACAGTCAAGGTTTCCAAGATGCCGTTCTTTTCAGAATTAAGAGTTGGACATTGATCAAGACTACAATTCTGCCATTATGCGAGTATGGATCCATTGGGACGGTCTGCGTTTCGCTGAGCGAGAGAACAAGCTGCCCGAGTATTGTTGACCTGGAGATTTCATCTACCCGCATTATAAATCTCTTTAAAGGAACGATAAACACTTGCTTTTGTGGTTAATATGGAATCTTAACCTGTGACAAACAAGTGTTCATCCCTATGAAGTTATTATTTTGAAAGATGTCACTAAATTAAAATGACCAGATGCTGAAGTTACTGCAGTGAAAAGGGGTAGAATAGTGTTTGGACGACGTGGTCAGCAGACCAGAATGTTCTGATGAACTTGAGGACACCAGACCCTCGGAGCTTCCTCACGTCATTTGTCCCCAACGTTCAAGCAGACTGGTGATCAAATGAGTTCAACCCATCAATCCACAACCTGAAGAGTCATGTTTTCCCATCAGCAGCTTGAAGCTTGATCTTAAAATGAGCAACTTCGTGATGAAAAGAAGCATTTTATTGCTTGCAGTGGATTTTCAAAGTCAGTTCAACTAAATTAGAGCAGACATTTCTCCTCGGCATCGAGCTGTGCATGTACTTGTGTTTGAGATATCTGCCACCATTACAATACGATGGAACCTTCCTTTTAGTGATCACATGACATTAAAAACTCCTCGGCAGCCTACAAACAAAAGGTCCATATCGAGTGTATTGGTGACAAGGAAATATAGCTATAAGGAATCAACTAAACGTAATACTTGAAACAAGCAGAACGGAAAGAATTTACAAGAAGTTTAGTTTCACGACGGCTAAACTAAACAAACATGAAACAGACACACGGCTGAGTGTCCATCAGCGAGACGAGCGTCTGTTCTTGGGCCTCAGTGGACACACAAGGCACATCAAAGGTCAAAGGTTGTTTATTCGAGCTCTACTAGCAGGTCTCCCTCTCCAACAGTCTCCCCTGGCTTACAGTGGACACTTTTAACCTGGAGGAGGCAGAAGGACACACACACACACAGTTGGAAATTGAAACTTGTATTGATTGAATTGGAGAGTTGAGCTCCAGTGCTTCACGCGTTACCTTTGCTGGCCTGGCAGCAGTCAAACTGTTCTGCATCTTCATGGCTTCGATCACACAGATCTCCTGACCCTCTGCAACCTGCACACACAGTTATCATTTTTGTAGTTTCTCAGTACATTAAAACATGAATAAAAAGCTACCTAGATAGATATAAACTTTATTAATCACCAAGGGGGAATTTGTGTGCAATAGCAGCAGTACAGTAAATAAAGTGAGAAGGAAAAATGCACATTATATACACAGAAAATAAAATAGCGACTACTTCAGCCTCGGTGGGGGGCTGATGTTGGCTTGGTACACGATGCAACAGGACCATGTCCCAGTATGCAGGTGCATGAGGAGTGATTGGTTAAGGGTTCGCACAGCGAGGTATGTTACCGTATCTCCAGGCTTGACGGACACGGCCACCACGGAGCCCGGCATCGGGGAACGCAGCAGGCTGCTGGTGTCTTCTGGAACCTTTTCTGGCATGAAGGAGTTTAACTGTGCAGCCAACTTGGACAGGACCCGCACCTTAAACTACAAACAAACACCCAGCATAAGGAACACGGGGCGGAGGCGTCATAAAGCAGGTTTACACGAGTCCTCGTTCCATAGACGACACTCGGTAAACAGGGAACTAATTGGACTTTCCGCAATAAAAGTACAATAAAGAAGACTTGATCAAAGTCTGATAAATGTCCTCAAGTGAAAATGATGGCTAGGCCGTCCGTTTTTAATTATATCATATCATTTATACACGTGAATAAAGGTTTATAATTGTACAGATCAATTTAGAAAACATTTCAGGAATAATGATGAAGCACTGAAGCAACAGCGATTGCTAACTAATAAAATGTATAGAAGCCAACGTTGGCTTTACCTCTGCGATCCAAAGACCTACTTTAAGGCAGAGCAGCGTGTTTGTTCTCCATGGGGGGGCTGACACTACACTAACCAGACGCTCACATAGAAGGACAGCGACCTGCGGGACAAGGTGGGGTTGTGGAGTTACGGGTCTTACCGACGTGCCCAGGAACTGTAGGACAATCTTTCCTGAAGCATCTCTGGACAGACACTAAAAGAAAGACAGAGCCGATCAGCTGATCAATGGAGACGTTTTAGCGCTTACTGTCAGTGATGATATTCCACCACCTGAGCCCGCGTGTGTTACCTGCAGCATCCTGGGTGTGCCGTTGATGGAGAGCGGTAGCAGAGGGGAGGCCAGGTTCCACTGTCCATTGACTTCCACTCTTCCTCCATCCACCTCCACCTACAGACACACAGATCGTCATTGTTCCCAAACGTCCTCACGGCCACAAAGACTGTTTACTCCACCCTCACACCTTCCTCTTCTTCTACGCTGCTGCCTCAAATCAGTTTCCCACAACAGCGCCCCCTCCTGGCCCAACCCGTCATTAGCCAGAGGAACCCTACAAAAATCCAATCAATGAATTCATCACTGACAAACACCCTATTTCCTCAGTCTCATTGATACTTGGAAAAAACATGTGGGCGGCGGTGACACATGGAGTAGAGAGGTGCACCGGGAACTGCAAGCTCCCCGAGCAAGACACCCAACCGCTCCCCCAACTGCTCCTCCAACTATTCCCCCAACCGCTCCCCCAACTGCTCCTCCAACTATTCCCCCAACTGCTCCCCCAAATGCTCCTCCCACTATTCCCCCCAAATGCTCCCCCACCTGCTCCTCCAACTATTCCCCCAACTGCTCCCGCAACTGCTCCTACAACTATTCCCCCAAGTGCTCCTCCAACTGCTCCTCCAACTGCTCCTCGCGACTGCTCCTCCAACCGCTCCCCCAACTATTCCCCCAACTATTCCCCCAACTATTCCCCAACTGCACCTCACGGCTCCCACTGTGTGCCATGTGTTAAAAATGTAAAACCACGTGTTAAAAAAAAGGTAACGTACGTTGCTTTTATAGGAGCTGAATGACATGTGATGTGATGACATGTGATGTGATGTGTACCGCTGTGCACCGAACCAAACCCCCCCCGACTGGATGTGACTGGACAGACGCCCTGACGGCTGCTAACAAACACCAGCATGGAAAACATCCAAACGTCCTTATCTGAACACCTGACACGTGGTCCTAAACCGCCGGTCGTCTCAATCTCGACCGCCTACCTCATTTGTTCACGGAAGGCCATCGTATACTCACAGTATAGACGTTTCCTGATTTGGTCACCTCCACATTATGGCGTCCTTCCTCCAGCTCCACACAGAGCTCCCAGTGGTTACAGTCCATAGGAGAGGAAGACACCCTGCAAATCACACACATGAGATCATTTGGGGCCCAAGCGGAGTCCATCAGGAGAGGGATCCTCCTCTGACGTTCTCCCGAAGGTTTCTTCCCTTTTTCCCCATGGAGGGGTTTGTCATTTTTTAGGGAGTTTTTCCTGCACCTCCCATCAGTGTATGAACAGCTCAATGACGACATGCAGAGTAAAAGACATTAGAGTGGTTGAGAGTGACGTCATCAGGCATCTCAACCAATGAGAGCGTTAGGGGGGCGGGCCTAAAACTGGTGCGGCGCTTAAGTGAATCAAAACGGGGACAGAAAAATAGAAAAAAGGTACGTGGACATTTGAATTTTAAATCTCTTCCAGACGACACAGTTGATAAAAGCAGTCATTAATAACCTGTATCGCTGAGTGTGCTTTTCTTTTACCTTTTTGACTGATTCTCCAACAAAAATCCACTACAAACATGGACCCTAAGTCCCTGCAGTGAATCCCAGCTGTGTCCTTAGTGGTGGACCACTTCACTCTAACAGGGAGACGTGCTACTGAACATAGATTATCAATAGATACATTATGGACGCACAGACTATTGATGTCCTGTTTATTCTGCTCTCTGATCACAGTCACATGTTTATGCTGGCAGCATAAACATAAAAAACTGATTTATAAATGTTGCCTGTTGTGATTGTGGAGGGTAACTTGTTTTTCTATAACAATCTAGATGGCATGTAGGAAAATACCTTTGTTTTCATTACATACTTTTTTTTTCTAGATTCCCATACATTTTAACTGATAGTGTGTAAAGGGAAAACATATTTGTTTTTAAGTATAGTTTTTAAGCAAAAATAAAAGAGCGCAAACTACTTTTGAATTCATTATTGAATTTTATTACAATGCCATTAACCGTGAATCGCTGCCCAGCACTACAGGTTAGTAATCTCTTATCTAAATGAGTTTGCCCCCTGCACAATGTTAAAAGCGTCATATTTAAATGACTAAATGCAAATTGAATGAACTAGTCTAGAATAATAAATACATAAGTGGCAGTGGAGCTGGCTGGTGGCCTCACCTCAGGTCGCCCATGAGCCTGTGAGAGCGGAGCTGCGCTGTGATGTAGAGCGCTGCAGCCGTGGCCAACAGCTCCCTGCGCTGGTCGGCCTCCAGCCGGTGACCCTTGAAGCCTTCGGGGTAAACCTCCGGCAGGAAGTTGGTGCTGATGTCCCCAGAGATAAATCGGGGGTGGGTGATGATTTCCCGCAGCAGGGGAATGTTGTGGGTCACGCCTGGATAGAGGACCACCAAACGTCTTTACAGGAAGAAAAAAATAAGACAATGTCCAATTAAAGTGTCTAAGCTGACAATCCGTCGTGTACCTCTGATGACATAGTTATCCAAAGCGTCCTCCATCCTGGCAAGAGCTTCCGCCCGTGTAGCGCCGTAGGTAACCAACTACAGACAGATACCAGAGGAAGTGATTGCCCCACGAACCCTCATGGATGCTGTAATGTACGTTTTGGTTCTGACCATCACTGACCTTAGAGATCATGGGATCATAGTAGATACTGATGTCACTTCCTTCCTGGATTCCGCTGTCTACACGGACCTGACAGAGCGAGGAGCAGAAGAGAGAATAGTGACTCAGGGAGAGTGAGCGGACTGTGTGAGCTCCTCTCTGATGCGGCTTTAACTTGTTGCGCAGGCCGTGGTGGACCGCTACACAAACATGCCGCAGGTCTCTTATTGTCACACGCTTACATTGCTGAGGTTGAGTGGCTCTTGGTATTGAGATAGCCGTCCGATGGAGGGAAGACCGAAAGACTTGTAAGG